CAAAGAATTAATTCAATAATGTTCTGTAATGAACCATCAAATCACTAAACAATGGTCTATTTTCAATGATCTCTCATTGTAAGGCTTATCTAAATACGAAATCAAGTCTGCAGATCTTTTTTTATTCCTCAATGCTGAACGATTGGCGATGTTCATTATATCATTGTTTGTCATAGCTGTCATCAACTGACTAAATCATGCGATGAATACTCTGAATAGTTTCTATTATTATTATTATTATTGAGCATGGTGATGAAATATCCGATCTATATAAATATAATATAAAATGCTTTTCTAATAAAGGAAGCACCTATTCAATAAAGAAAACAAGAATTTAAATTAAAATAAGCGCCGGTTCATATCTACTCTTCAGTTGGAGATCATTGCGTATTTAGATTAGACTTTTTGAATGTTTACTGTCAATTATGAAATGTTCCAGATGAGTGTATCTGTGTTTACTTTTATTGATTTTATACATTTTACTGATTATTAGGAGATTGTATGTAGACCTCGATTGCGTTCCATATGTAATTGATGTCAAACGCTTGGAGTGGCTAGAGGCCTTGATGGATACGGAGTTGTGACGTCAAATGCAGACAGAAACCTTTTTGTTGTTAGTACAGCAGAAAAAATGCATCCCTTCTTCTTGCCAATATTCCTAAATACACATCCATAGAAGATAAAGCGTGGTAATGCTGTACTAGTTCGTATCGATCTTTATCTATCCTCTAAGAAAATGCGCATCTTTTTTTGTGGTTGATGGATAAAAAGTATTTTCTTTCTTTCTTTTGCTTAGGATCCAAGTATGTATATCGAACGACAGATGACCTTCTCTCTTTTTCCTATATTTCCCACGCATTTTGCTGTGATAGAATGAAACGACAACAGGCTTTCTCCTTCTTGTACCATACATACGAATAGAACTATCTTCATCGATCTAACAACCGAGAAGGGAGAACAAGAAAAGAGCAGGAATAGGTATTTCTGATTTCCCGTCGGCGTATCGTTTCTTCTTTCTTGTTTTGTTTCTTTTCTTTACGCGTGGTATATCCTCTGCTTGTGTACAGATACTTAAAGCTTCCTGCTGCTCTGCTGCAACGAAGCACAGGACAAATGTCTCAAAACAATTACGAATGCGAAGAGTTTGTTTATCATTGTTCTGTCAGACGAGTGTACACTAGAGGAAATGAGAGAGACGGAGAGGAAAAGGCAGCGAGAAGGAAAAAAATACATCTTTACCATACATAACTTCTACTATCTTTTCTAGCGAAGCTCGCATAGCGGCATCGTTGTCGTTGTCGTCGTCAAACGATTGTATCCGCGTAGACGCGATCCAAAAACGACAATACTCGCATCTTGAGTAATTCATTCCATCAGGCTTTGTCGAAGTTTATTTCATTTTAATGTTGTAGTCTCAACTCAAGTATTGTTTTCTCATGGCAGCAATTCCGGATGAAATACCTCCAACGAAAATTGATGAAGTTGAAGCATCGCCTTCAGTCGCACCAACCGTGAATGAACCTGTCGTAAAAAATGACGAAGCCAACATCAGCGCTGCTCCCCAGTCAATAGAGACGAATGGAGAAAAACAAGAATCAAATCCACCTTCGGACTCTCCAACCAATAAACCAGAAGAAGAAGGAGATGAAGCTGTCGTACCTCAAGCCGATAGTCCACCGTCGGCGACATCGGATGTACAAGAACAAGAGAACTTAGCATCGATATCGTCGAAAGAAACCAATAAAGAAAATATTAATAGCACATCTCGTGAACAAGAATCCTCATCATCATCAACAACAACAACAACCAAATCTCGCTCAGTTAACTTTGCTTCAAAAATTGATGAAATCGAGACACCGAGATTTCAGTCGACAAATTCAAATGTAAATCGAACGAATTATTCGTCATCAAAATCATCACGACGACCAATTGATTTCATCGATGCACTTGTCGAAAGTTATAAACTTGAAACATCAGTTCCTTCTCCGAACAAAGAAGAGAAAAAATATGTACCTAAAACGAATCGTACGCGTTTAAATCCCAACTGGCGTGAACATCGAACAAAACGTTTAATGAATAAATTAGAAGAACTGAGTTTATGGGATCGAGAAGAAGAATTGAAAGCCACACAAGCTCAATCATTACGTGACCAGAAATGGGAACAAATACAAGACCGTCAACGTAATCATGATTTATGTTTGGCTTTAATGCGGCAAAGACATGAAAGTGAAATGGAAAGTGCTGTGCTATTAGATCCGGGTGCAACAGGTATAAACGACGAAAACACGAGTGCAACTATCGCACGTGCCATGAGCTTGGCGTCACCCGCTGAACTTCTTGCGTATGATCTACCCACACCGCCACATTCATTGAAACGACGTCTTCGACAAGAACAAGAAAAAACATCGGATATGAAGACAGCGCTCGGTCGTTATCGACAATTTGAATCAACCATGAGTAATAAATTAGAGAAAATTAACCAAAAATTACAACCAGACCATGAAATCATGCGTGCTTACAGCCCATATCGGACAGCGATCCCACCAACTGTCACGCCATTGTTCAGCGAAACCTATGCAACATTACTTTCTGTACCTGAATCGCAACCAACAAACAAATACAATCAATATCATTATAATGTTGCTTCACATTTACATCAAGCACAACATTCAGCAAGTCCGGACTATGAAACACGGTCGAAATCTTATTCAAGTCGTGATGTGCGTGTACCATTGAAAGAACAAGCCAATGATTATAGTTATTATGATGACGAGAATATCGATGAGCCTTATCATCAACATCATCATCGATCAAATTTTCTTGCTGATGACGAGTATCATGCCAAACATCGTTTGAATACGAGTGAATATTATCCAAAATTTCGCTCAAATGCTCTCGACGAGGATTATCACCGAAAATATCGCTTCAATTCAGTCGACGAAGACTATCCATCGAAACCTCGACCAAATCCTATCGAAGACGACTATTACACAAAATATCGTTCAACTTTAACATCAAAATTAGATTACAGTCCACCAAGACGAACGACCAGTTTGGTATCACCAACTGCATCAGCGTTATACGATTACACAACAGTTGCGAATGCACCACGTGATTATTCATTTATTCATTCTAGTCAACCATTATCGAACAGTATTCACCTTCGTAGTTTAAATGATGATTTAAATGCTATAACACGTTTTTCAAGTGAGACAAGTAAAAAAATTTTACAAAATGCTACCGATTCAGCGAATGACCTGTCAAGCAAATCACGTTCGTCGTCATCGATGTCAACGTCGAAACATGTTAGCTTTACTGATCGAGATGGCGGTGACGATGATGACTCGTTGAGTCTTGAAGGTTCATCGCGTAATTACTCATCGAAAACAATGTATCAACAACCTGTGGAAATCATTTCACTTTCATCTTCACGATAAAAAGAATCATATTCTCAAGACCTCATTACCTTTTCTTTTTTACTTCAAATATCACCTCTTCTTCTAATTCTTCATTTTTCTCTTTGTAACGCACGTATTTACATATTTATATCTATCTTAATAGAATATCAAAGCACTCATACAAGTTTTTCTTCAATGAATTCGGAGGTCCTATGAACGATCGGAAGACGACTTTATCAAAAGAGAACTTTTCCTTATTACGTCTTGAGGGCAAGCCCCGTAAGATAAAAAAAGCATTTTTCTCCAGATATTTATGCATATGGAGAGAAAAGTCTGCAAATAGACCACGAAGAAGGAAAGAAGATCGTCAAGGACACCAATCGTTGGAATGGGAATAGGCGTAACATTGTTTTCTTTCTTCAAAAACAATAAACAACGTTCGAATTAGACATCTGTCAACAACTCCATTTATTCTTAGAAAACGATATTTTCTTCGTGATAAAATTATGTTCTAATCTTCTCAGAACAGATCACAGTCATTTATCTTTCAAACACACCAACTGCAACTGCGGCAGAACCGTTTTCAATTTTTCACAGTGCAGCTCTAATCACATTCATCAGGCGTCTACACGTTCCCGTGTGAGACTTCAATTATTGATCTAATCACTACTCTGTCTGCTGCTAATTAAACATTGAACAAAAGAATACAATACAAATTTATGTTTCAGATATCATCTCACTTCTTACCAGATATATCCATGACCTACGGCAATTGTCCTCGGTACGTGTGGCAACAGATACATACTCAATTACACTACCACTCTTTGAAAGAGCACTCAAGCCATACTCAAGATCTATTCGGATAACGCATCCAATTTCATTGTGAAGAAGGAACATATTGGTATGATATATATAACATAAACAAGAACGAGAAAATCCTTGTACTTTCATATCGAAAATCGTAAATAGAAGAGGTCAGTGAATGTCCTGAGAAAATGACGCATGTGTTTATCTACTGAATGAAACCCAGCATTCAGAGGAGAAATGACAAACAATGATAAATGTGCCAATTATACAACTTAGAATTAGATTAATCATCAGTCAGAGAATATCATTCGAAGGTTTTCACACATCGAACTAGAAGTTTACTTCTCATAGATCTCTCTAGAATGAGTAGAATATGATCGATGAATTACCCACTAAGATACTTATCAGATTGAATACCATTGAACTATTTACAGATGATACATTTGATCATTCAGTTATTCGATATGCAAGAAAACATTGTTTTCATATTCATCAACAGAAATATGAGATTCTCTGCAAATTCTTTAAGTAAATAAATCACACAGAAAGAAAGATAACGCTTTATTCTCTATCCTAATGCCCTAATTGCATCACTATTAACTATTTATATTCTCGATAATTATTTCCACTACTGTTTTTTCTTCAAAATACAATTCACAAAGATAAAACCTAGTCGTATATGCATATTATCTTCAACATCTACTTTGAATACATATACTGTCATCTATTCACATCGAATTTCATCTTTTCCTTCTCCTTCCATCACATTACATTCAGTGTATAGACAGTCAATTGATGACGTCAGAGACGATTTTCACCATATCAAAGTTTGATGAAGAAGATCTTTATCCAAATGGTACATTACCTAATCGTTTATTAAGTCCAATAACTGAACATTCGACTGACACTCAACAAACATATTCCGATACCTCGAAAAAATCGTCCGAATCTGTTTTGAGCAAAAACAAATCTGCGATCGATGAACTTAACGAAATCTTATTACCAAAATGTCATCAATACATCACATATTTTTATCACATTCAAACGTATCTGAATACGCTACAAAAGCATTTCAAAGCTCTATCGATTATTGTGAATTATCTTCGAAAAGATCGATGCATAAATCATGTTATCGAACCAATCGAAACACGTATGTTACAACTGCATGCCAAACGAAATCAAATCGACAATCTACTCAACAAATCCTCCATAAAAACTCTTCTACAACAAGTTTGTCTTCCAACCAACAGAGAACCCTTCTAAAAGCTTCTTTTCTCTCCTCAGATTTTATCATCTATTCACCAATCAAAACTCACTGTTGATTACAACGAATTTTTAACATCCATACAATTGAATATGAACCAAAAATCAACTTTAATCGATCATTTGATGAACGAATATCGCTACAAAAAGTACCAACTCCACGAATATACTTCGAAAACTAAACAACGACATCAACTAATAATAAAATTAACAAATCAAATTGCCCAATTTATTGTTGGACATGATAGAATACTTAAACAAGTAAATTCAATATCCATAATTAATGAACATAATCGGGAATGTATTGAATTAACTAAACTCTCGCACGAATATGAACAAGTTCGTCAAGAAAATTATCTTCTAACAGCCAAAGCCGAAGAAACGCTTCAAAAGTTATCGAAATTCATATCCGTCAATCATTTTTAAACACAAACGGTGCAGATAGTCTTTCCGTGTGTTATTTCATTATTTCACGAGAAGAAAAAAAAAGGAATTTATGCATATACAAAAAAAAACGACAATGTTCTTCATTTCGAACAGAGAAAAAGAAAACAATGAACTGTTTACATTTGACTGACTAGCTTGTTCCATTGTATTTGGAAGATGCATTCACGATTTAAGTTAGTTTAACTCCGATCGAACGAAGCGGATAGGCATTGTTTGGCGAGAAATCGTTTGTCATTGATACCTAAAATGAGAATCAGATGTGAAATAGCTGATGGAAAGATTTCTCTTCGAAGTTGATGACGCAATCCGTTCTATCCACAACCCCAAAAGTAACCATAAAATCATCTCGAATGGACACTTTTTGGTTGTGAACAGAATCTGATCACTATTCACGAAAGAGAATAATCAAATCTGGCATTTCAAATTACCATTCCGCTATCCACTGAACATTGAGAATTTCGATATGGCAGAACATCTGACGCAGTGTTTATCGCTGACTGATGATTAACTATTTTCAAGAGGAAAAACCAATGATATTTTTAGTATCTTTTAAATAAACATACATGTTGCCGATGTGTTCATTGTTAAACTCATATCAAGTAAAGAGTTTGACAATGTTCTCGATAATGGTCGTTCACGTTTATTTGTTGGATAATCAATTAATGACGAAACAACTCCGTTTGTTGTCGGTACATCTGCTAGTGAACTCCATGAACCGCGTAATTTGTCTAATTCGGATTGAATACGTAATCCTTCCATTTCATCCATTTCCATAATTGCTTCTTTGAGATCTTCACAGAATTTCGATCTATCATGTTCGTTTCGAGCATTGAAGGTAATCAGATTGGTTTGATTAACGTCTGGTTTACGTACGAGACGAATTCCATATTGATAATCTACAAGAAATCCAAACCTTCTCAATAAAAAGCAAATAACTCGCTGCCATCGAACTCACATGTTGTTTCGAATAAATACAAATTCATTCCTGACAGGCGGAATGCCTGTCGAAATTGATATTGCAATTGTTGACGTTTTTTACCCGAGATTTTCGTAATCTAATCAATATGACAAAACCAATCGATAAGCTCAAAATTCGACATAGATGTTTGACTTACAACAAGTAGATCATTGAAAAGAAAGACTTCACGTTGATGTGCAGTAAGCCGTTCTCGCTTGGACAAATCATAAATCTCATACAAACGACAGTAACATACCAATCGTCTATGCGGTGCGATCAAGGTGGGCTTTTTGCCAATAAGTGTCTGCTCGAATTTGGCCACTTGCGTGACATGGTCACTGTCAGGGCGAAACTCTTGTGTACGGATTCGTTCGTAAATGCCAGTTAAATAATCGATATCAAGATCTTCGCCATCGTCGATCGCTAGAATACAATTATGAGTAAGAGAAAGACATCTGAATATGAAGAATGAAGTAAAATATTTGTTGACATAGAAAATTTCTCTTCTGTTTCTTTCTCGTTAGTTTATAGCGTAACAACGAGAAGCGAACGATGAGAAAGACTGGCACTGCTACATGCGAATGGTCGATGATTTATAGATGATGATTTTCTTCTTCTTTCGCAACTTACTTGACGTTTTTTTTCTTCTTCTTCTTCTTTTGCTTCTCCTCTGACATATATTTGAAGAAGAAACTATGGGAAAGCCGTTCCTTCTCTCTCTCTCTCTCCTCTCTTTTCTCCCTCTCTGGCTTTTCTCCGGTTCAATGAGACATATTTGCTTGACGTCCGCTCGCCAACTCAACTGTGATTTGTGAAAAGAATCAATCTATAATATAGTATTGTGAAAATTGAAATGATCGATTTTTTTTCTTCCCCTTTCTTTCTTCGCTCTTTTTTCAGTTTTCCGTCGACATTCCTTCTCCCAATGAAGAAAAAGAAACGCACTGATTTCTGCTTGTACTTTCCTCTCTCTCTTTTCCTTCGTTGTCGTCGTCTTCTCAACATTAATATTATTAGTGATAGAGAATAAGAACTGTTCGTCGAAGAACTCAACGAATGCGAACAAAATTCAATTTTGACTAGGAATTTGCAAGGAAAAAGACCTTGATATGATTGATAATGAGAACAAGTAGACGAATGAGTGAATAAGTGAATGAATGCTCGTTCTTGAAAAAGCGTTTTCTTCCACTTGTCTATAACGAATGAGTGTCGGATTGTGCAGCAAGCGGAAATCATCTTCCTCTCTATACTTCTCTCGAACAACTAAGCGGATGATGAATCTGCAAAAAAGAAGAAGAAGAAGGAGAAGAAAAAGCAAAAACTATTGCTTAAGTAACGGTAATAGCCAGCACGCAGTTTTTTCCTTCATTTGAAAGAAGAAACTGTCTGATTTGATTTTCTTCTACTTTCATTTTTCCTTCCGCTTACATACATATTTTCAGATGAACGCTTTTTCTTGATTCAACAAAAATGAGATTGAACACTTTGATTTGCTCANGTGTGTTATCCTTTCGATTATCTATCGATGCGCGCAATGCGGTTTCCATCCGGCTGGTGTGCATGTGTTAGTTTTATGTAGCTCATTAGACGAAGAAATACGAGAGATTTGTTTTGCAACAATCAACAGTAATAGTATCAACATCGAATGAATACACACGATTAGTCAAGTCAACATTCCCCTCTTCGATCTATTTCAGTTCACATACCGGTAAATTAATCTGGCATGCAATTCCTATATCGAATAGATACATAGAAAGTATGCAGCAGGCCGTCTGTCTGCGTGCATTCTTGAGTTCGGTCATCAGAATGAGAATGGAAATGGAACGGTTAAGGGGAAAGTTTTACCTATGCTGTAATCCTTCTTCATCACGAGCGTGTTTGCAAGCAGGCGAACGAGAAGCAGTGAAAAAAAGAAGAAGAAGAAAGAAAGTGACAAATTGGCAATCAGTGTCGTTCGCTTTTCCTGCCACGGCAACTAATAGCCTGCAGTAATGGTGAAAGATTCATTATTGCGTCCTATGCGTATTTGCATTGGGAAAAAAATTGACATTCACTAAATACATAACCAATCGTCACACACATGCACGCGAGAAAGAAACGTTTCTATCAAATTGCATAATTTCCTTTCAATTTATAGAGATACACACATCGAAATGCATTTAGTCTTACCCCGAAGATTTCTTATAAATTGCTCGAGACGCATTTTCCTCTCGGATTTGATATTCCGACTGTGAAGGTCTGTATTCAGCATGATAATAGCAAAAGCTAATATAAATATGGTATCGACATTCGACGATGGTGATGTTGTCGGATTTGTTGCGCAATAACGTTGTCCAAATACCTGAATAAAGGAATTAATAAAAGAAGAATGGGAGAAAATCTCTTCTAATGAGTCAATCATTGAATACGTATTCGAGTGTACTTCATGTTAGACTCACCTTCATCAATTGTTCGATTTTTTGTGCTTCACCCTTTAATAAAAGAAGAAGAAGAAGAAGAAAAAGCACGCAGAATAGATTCGAATTAATTTAGCGATTGTATTGCTTACTGGCAATCGAAATGACGATTGAAACTTTCTCAACGCTTCGTCGATAGGCATATCGTCGAAATGGAATTCATTAACAAAAGCACTAAGACAAAAGTTTCGCGATGAGAAGGAAACAGCACGGTTGTAGAGAATAACTTACTGTAGAACTTGCATCGCGAATGGATCTTGAAGATTACCAAGGTATTCACCGATCATTTGTCGACTTAGACCTTTTCGTGAAAGTAAAAATCGTGCAACTGCTTGCGGATTCGGTTCAAGGAAACGATGAGCAATCAGATACCGAATGCCACGTTCGGGTTTTCTATTCAAGGAAAAAGAGATTTCATTTAGTTAACAGAAAAGTGGCTTGCTCAGGATTTACTTATTGAAAATGTTCAGCCCTGCTCGATAGCAACGTCGACGATAAGTTTCATTCATGCGTATATTTGATGTTCGTTCATGTCCATGTAAAACTGGTTGATGTTGGATAAGTAGTGGCTGTTGTTGGTGGTGGTGCAGTTCAAGACTATTCGATAATGAACATGAATTCGAACCACTACTTGTTGATTGAAGACTCATATTATCACGATCCGAGCTGGTTGTTGATGATGGACTGATTCGTTGTGCAAAGGAACGGTTTGGACTTTCAAGGGAAAAGTCGTTGAAGTCGTTCTCGTTTGTTGTTATCGTTAACGAAGTTTTTCTTTTCCATACTGGTGATGGTAATGAATTCGTCGTTGAAATCAACGCTGGACGAGGTTTTAACGATAAACTACGAAGTGGTGGCGTTGGTTTTTGTGAAGCAAGTTTGCGTAGATGAATAGGCGAATCAGTTAAATTCGTATAGAAATTGAAATCATTTGTTGGCGAAGGTGATTGCGTTTTAAGTAGACCATTGTGTCCATTTGACGATATAGAAGTTTTATTGTTAGATTCGATTAACATGAATGGTTTGTGAGAATTTCCATCGACAAAATCGCTGACATTATCAATTGGTTCAGAATGTTTGCGATGGCTCGGCGGGGTATCAGTGACAATACAAACACGTTTGCGGTTTTTATTCTGTTGTTGTTTCGTGCTTTCGATAAAGTGTTCGAAATTGATTGATGGCAAATCTAAATGACGGTCAGCGAAATTCAACGACAGAGAATCCGAATTGGTCGGTGTATTCGACGACGATGATGAACTTGTCGAACAATTTAATAAATCATCGGCAAGAGCCGGCACAGAAGATCTGGCTGTCGTTCTCAAACACGGTTTCAATGGTTTGATCATTTGAATTGGATGAGGATGATTCGCTATACTATTGTTGTTGTTATTATCAAGAAATGTACATGATAAACGTTTATTTGTTTTCATTGTTGCTCGTAAATGCCGAAAATTCTGTTCTAGTTTATATTTTCGATATGCACGTTGAATAATCGTTGCTGCTCGACGACATCGCAAGCTTCCACCATATTTACGTTCTAACATTTCAATTTGTTTATCATGAAGGTCTTGTGATAGTTCATAAGCATTAACAGATCCATTCGCTGACGTCGTTGTCGATGCTGATGACGATGAACGAATGTCAACATGATTTGTCATCTTTGTTACCGACTGTTGAACACTAAAATACAAAGATAGAATGAGGCACTTGAGCTAATTCTATTGACATTCCACAGAGAAATATGCATTATCATATCGTATACATATAATAATCATCAGGAACTTGAAAAGAAGCTTTTTCGATGATGGGAATAGACGGAGAAGAATGTGGTGAGAAGATTACAAATTGAAAATATTTGTCTGACAATAGGGAAAACGTATTTGTACAGAATATTATTAATTGACTTTCGCCTGACTCTTGATTATGTTTTTCTTCTCGAAGAAAACTAAAAAAGACGATTATTTATGAATGACCTTACATTCTCTTTTCCTAAATTTCCTTGACTCTATGGTTTACTATTCGTACATTTTTAAATATAGAACCACACTATAGCATCTCAAAACTTTCTTTTCCCAATTTTGAGATTGCATACCCAAGAAATAACCTGTTATGGCACTGACAAATGTCAAGGTTAGTAGCTTTGAGCTCTCTCTCTCTTCTTTGTCAAAATTGATGAATGATGACATATGTATCAGAAGCAGAGATGGATCAAAATATCTTGTCACTACGCATCCTCCGGCACACAGCCAGCTCGTTCAGTCAATCGACATATGCATACGATAGGATTTTCTACACATTTATCTCTCGATCTGCTTGATGACAGAATTCGTGTGTACACTTTCTAGTGGAAGACTGATTACGCAAAGTTAAGACATGCATAGTTAACCTTGATCAGACGAAGACGAGAAAAAAAACGAGTTCGTAGCATGCCATCTGAACTAATTGGATGAGGAAAAACGCTTACATCGTATGATTATTGATATTTGATTGTTGGTCATTGGAAAGTAATGAAAGTAAATAATCACGCTCAGCCTGTATGGATTTTAATTGAGTTTGTAATTTACTTAATTCATCTTGTTGTCGTTTGATGATGCCATCCTTTTCTTCCAGCAAGGTTCGTGTGCCGCCTGATGGCGGACAATCAATTCGCTGACGTAGGAATTGTTCCATAATTAAAACATGATTATTTTAATCTATAAATAAAAAGAAGGAAACGTTCGAGAATTTGCTGAGTAAAATTCATTTTTCTATGCTTTCTCACGGTTTTCTCTTAATAGGACCAGAAAGGTTTGCGATATGAAGTACTCGTCGGCATATTTTAAGCCGTTCTTCGTCGCTCATAACCATGTGAATATTTTTTTCAAGTACGGTGGGAAATTTATAAGGAAAACGAGAAAAAGAAGAAGAAGGAGAAGGAGAAGAAGTTAAGAAACATTGACACTGATGACAAATGTTCATTGTTCAGCCATCCTTCCGTTATTGAAGGAAAAACGCGAAAAGGAACACGAGGAAGAGAATGACGAAAGAAAAAGAAGAGTACAACGATTTATTATTATATTCTTGTCTATAGTGAATGATGTCACAATGATGATTACAATAATGGAAAACATGATACTAATGTCGACAAAAGAAAAATCTCAGTGAAGACAGAAGAAAAACTAGAACTATAATAATATCTCAAGTGAAAGAGACGAGAGAGAGAGAGAGAGAGAGAGAGAGAAAAGGCAAAATGAGCAATGCTCTTTTTATAAGATACAAGGACAATTCTAACAGACATTTAACAACTAAGCAGCTAATCGTTTTCAATTGTTAATAGAGAGAAATACTTTCCAATCGTCGATGTTACATTCTATCCGTATAATTTGATTGTCTGTAGACGACATTATTATCGACATACGGTCACTTCGGATCGTTCTTATCTCAATGAATAGTTCTTTCACTTCCGGCGCGCGTCATTTTGACAGAGTCGGTTTCGTTTGAACGCAAGGTCAAGTTCGAATTAAGTATGGATATGTTGATCTTATAACGAAATGGAATCAAAGAGTGAATGAGTGAAAACGACAACGTTAATTGGATTGCGAATAGGCTTATGCTTGTCGACATCTCATGGGACACATTGGTTACAATCTCCGAAATAGCCTTCAGGAGTGAGAGAAAGGAATAGACAACTAACAGAATGTTAGGGTCCAGATTTAATTGAAATCGACAGAGTACAATTAGTCTGCGAAGCGGAATGAATACTACTTCTCATCTATAGCACACTGTATCGAAGTATATGAATGATGAAGAAGCAAAAAAAACGGGCGCGACCAACCATATTGATTATCAAAAGAAGAATAGAGAAGATTTTGCGTGTCGCCCGTTGGCAGTACTCATTTATTCACTTGATTTGATTGCATCTGTCGTTCTTTCTATCTCTTTGGTTTAGATGTCTATATCATATATTGATGCCGCATTTAACAGATGATCTATCGACGAAGACTATTATTCTAAGGAATGCAGACACTTCTCTTCCGACATCGATTCATCGAAGAGTTAAGTAGTGGATTCTTTCCTGACAGGCAGAAACAGGGATAGACCGACATATGTTTTAATATCATCAAGAAAACGAATCAAAAGAAAGAAGTAAACATCGGATAAACCTTGAGCGAACAATGATCTTATAAGAATAAGAAATGAATGTGTCTTCGAAGGAATAAAACCAAATAGAAAGGTATCAAAAACAACGATGTAGCTTAAGGAAGAAATCCGACATTTATATTATGTACATAAATAATTGTCAATGTTTCTTCTCCTCAAACTGTCACATCATTGTTGCTTCATTGCGTTCTCTGACATGATGATTATGATTATGATTATTAACATACGTGGGACGATCGATCGGTCGATCGAACTGGGCCATTCGCTTTATTAATCATGTTAAAAGATCGACAAACAAAGATACTGGACCTTGTGGCAATTGTTTTTCACACAAAGAAACTTTCTTTTCATTGTCTTACCTTGCTTTGTCTATGAGGGAAAAGGCGTACGAGATACGTGCGTTGATGGATGGAATAGATCGAACAATGACCAAGAAAGAACGCGAGAGAAAGACAATATTGATGAAAGCTAGTGAAAATAATGATGAGTGAGGGTAATAATCACACAGGCATCATCGTCGTCGTCGTTATTTTTCTAAGAGATAGGAAGAAGACGAAGAGAATAATTGCGGTAATGGTACACAGGCGCGTCGTTGTCGATATCTGCGTTGAATAACAGAAAAGTAGCGGCTATTTTTAATGTACCCAGCTAGCCAGTCAGCCACCTCGTGTTCATCTATATTTGTATATGCGCATGCATTCATTCTGTTCCATTGACTGTTTGTTTTATTGCTAGATGCTTTTACTAGCCTCATTGCTACCGTCTTTTTCTCGTCGTTGTCGTCGTCGCCGTCGTCGTCTTTGTCGTTCTTCCTAATTTCTCATGGCACTGACAATAATGATGAAGCAGAACGTACAAAAAACTGAACTGTACATGACTCTCTTGTCATGACACGCGTCCATTGTCCGGGCGTGTTCTAAAAAAAAGCGATGGAAAGAAAAAGAGAAAGAGAAAGAGAGGAAAAGACAGGCGATTTTTTTTGTCTTTTACTGTACTCAAATAAACTGGATGTGAACAGATGGTTAACGATCTTTCTTCTCCCTCTCAGATGAACAAAAAAGAAGAAGAAAGCGAGACAGAATGAAACAAACGGACATTGAAGAGTGCTCACTGGCCAGTATAGTAGTCAATGTCGCCATTGTATTGACAAGTCAACTCTCGAGTGATTGTCAACAACGAGAGAGATGGGCATCACTGAATGACTGATACATGAGAAAAGAAATATGAAAAATAAAACCATCCTATTACAAAGACAGAATCGCATCAAAATTAGATTGATCAAAACTATAATATAGGACGAAGAAAGTCTGTCATATTAGATTGAATCATTACGTCAGATGATGTAGAAATGTATGGTAAATGAACGAATGGAATGAAGGGAAATAAGAACATGTGAGAATAACTTCATTCATTCTCCCAAGAGTATGAACAATCAGTATCTATACATCAATGATTCTAACAAGGACAACAAGATCTATTTACGTTTTTCTCTCCAGGGCGAACATGTACGAGAAATTATCTGACGATTTCTAACTGGATTTCTTTGGAAATATTAACAACTAGGAGCGAGCAATTGCTTAGTTACATGATGATGATATGTACGAGATAATCGAACCAATCGTCCGTTTGTTCATTGAGCAGGGCAGAAGAAAGCTGATGTCAGATTTTTTCAAATCAATTATATAATAGATTAGAAGATAAAACACATATGAAAGAAGTGCGATGGACTGATTACTCTCTATCCATGAGAAATAACTTTGATTCGTTATATTTACAGACGACTCAGAAGTTTGAATTGAACTGATAGCTCACCCTCAAGTTATTTCTCGAGAGTAATCTGAGATCAAGGTGTCGCGCTATCTGTGTAAGATTATTCACTTCCTGGAGGAAGTCTTTTGGATAAAGAGCACCTTGACACAGCGAAAAAATGTCATAATTTATATATTGAATGGTGGAATTCTCTAAAAATCGATAACATATTTAATTTTAAGGAGGCACGAAAAACATACCTAACCGATTTCTTTCATTTTCAAACATGAATAGAAGATTAGATGTGTAACTTAGACGTTGAATAACTTCAACATTGATTTGCCTAATTTTTTCTGTTGCAATGGAATTCATAACGAGTTCTATTTCAAACGAGAAGAAAGTATCGAGTAACGAGAATAGTGTAACACGCCACACACACTTGACCTGCGTCAGAATTTGTATGAGCAAAATCATGTAGTGTCGAAAGTACCGCTTGTCGATAAAATAGCATGATCATACGTATTTTGCTGTTTTTGAATAGATTTTCATTCGAGAACGTATTTAGTTCAAAGGTGCAACATGATCTAGTACCCCTGTGGCATATTTATGTATCGAGTGACAAGGCTTGTGAAGTTCTTTGATTAGATCGCCAAATTCACACTCATGATGTTTCTCGGAACACTCGAGTAACTGGAGTTTTCTGATGGACGATAGGTTGCAACTTGATTCATAGCCGTTTTCACGAACTAGTTGTCATATGTATATCTACTGTACTGAATAGAATAATAATGTTATGCATAACGGTTCATCTATCTTCAGCAGCTCCGAAGGAATTACAAAATCTAAGGTTGTAGCCAATAATCTTTTGACCTCTTCTTCATTGAACCATCCGATCTAGGAACTTTCGTAGAATATGCAAATTAATGTCGAATCGAGACAATCAATCGTGTAAAACAAGAATATTTATTTATCAAAAAAAGTCAAATCAAGGCAATGGAATCATTGGAATCTGTCGTAAAAAAATTACAAAAAATGCATGCGATAATCACTAACATAGTAACTCAATATTGCCATTTTCTGTGCCGAAGAGTAAAAGACGATTTTCAGGAAATAAAGCCATTGATGAAACTGTGCCTTTGACATTTTCGGACTGAAGTCGCGTTATTTGACAATCCATCTATTAGCAGAGAAAGGAAGACGTCAAAAGAACAGATGATGAATAATTACCTGTGCTCCGCCTTTCATATTGGAATAAATACACAATTTATTCGTCTGTGTAGCAACGATCACTTCTCCACTGCGAGTTGTTAAGACGAATGGAGCTGGATCGACATGTACTATAGAATATAAGAACAGTTGCTTTTATCCGAAAAAGATCATAGATTACATTTGAGTGATGTTGGAGTTGCTTGAATTGACTCTTTTGTATTCCAGAGAAATATGGAACCATCACCTGAACTGGTAAAAAATCGATTACGGCTATAGAAGTTTGCCTACAGGATGAGAAATGAGTAATATATTTGAGAATTCGGTTACATTACTTTTAAAACTTCGCCTTCTGGTACTTTTAATGTTCTTAAGATGCCGCCGGAACGCACATCAAATACTGATACTGTACCCGTAGAAAATCCAATGATAGCAGACGTGGCATTCGGACTTATTGCTAGTGTCTTCACTTGACCTAACGCATATACACTCGTAGATAAGTTGAAGCAAACCGAGTCATACTCACCGCCTGTAGCTAAGGTAGTTTTCCATTCATAAGCAAATGCTTTTGTTCGAACATCGAGAAATCTATACACAATCCGAATAGTTTAGGAAAACAGATTGATGTGTTTTGTTTCAACATTTCCTCCGCTATCCACGAACATTATCCAAACCTTTATTAACTATTTGTCGTGACTTATTCTACATAATAAATAGCATTTCGTAATCAAATCTATGTCTGACAAATTGATGTCTGGTTCTTTTTTTTTCAAATAAACAATATGTAATAATCAAGACAATCGAGGTCATCTGTTTTTGAATAGTCTCAAACTTCGAATTCTCAATCAAAATTCTGTTATTTGTCATGCAGCATACAACAGAGTACAGGTTCAACGAAGATCAATCAATTTGAACTTGTTTGATCATTTATGTATGTCGTGCTATTTTACATACCTGACAATACCGTCACTCGTGGCTGCCAGAATGTTTGTACTTGGCGCTGGCATGGTCGCGATGGCTGTGAAAGCTAATGTTTCTTTTGGTTGCGAATAACGGCAAACAACTTGACCTCGGAATGGATCTAGTACCTAGAGAGAAAAATCCGTAGATAGAAGAAATAATCTATAAGAAATGATTTACATGAACTGAACCATCACACGTTGCTGCTAGTCGAAGACTTTCTAAGAAAGAAATGGCGAAAACGGATTTTCGATGTCCAGTATAGGACCATCGACTTTCAACTCTAATACGAAGAAAACGAATGTCGATCATATGAAAGATTTCCTGACAAACTTTGTTGCGTTATCGTTTTGATTTTCGACTTTCCAAACTAAAACTTTCTGATCTCGACCTCCACTTATGAATGTTGATTCATCATCCAATACGCATAAACTTCGAACTGCATTGTTATGACCTAGATGAAACGAACACGAGCTTGTTGCATAGAGATAAGTTCCGTTTCTTCTAACCAGAAAATGATTGTAGATGTATTTGTTTGAAACTCAACATTGCATTTTCACTTCGACCAACTTCATACTCCCAATATGAAAGCCAATTTTTGCGTAGAAATCGACTTTCATCTGAAAGTTGACTAAACACAATCAAGGAATGCATGTCAACAAACTATTTCAACTGGCAAAAGACAAATTCCTTACCATAGAATGTCCTTATCACGAATCGAAGTCAGTATATCATTCGCCGAAACTGTACTATTTTGAGATAATACTACAAGAACTCGATCGAAATATGGCTGATTTCGTTCGAAGATTAACAATTACCGTCTGGTTTCGATGTCAATTCTGCAATCCAAGCATAGATCGTATCGTTTCTCGTTACTAATGAATTCATATGTTGACTATACGAAAACTAAGTTAAAACAGAAGGTATCTTCATCGAACGAACTCCTTACTCTCCGCATAAACGACAGAATTGTACAAAGGCTGTGCATGCTAATTCGCCAGTAAACGTCGCGTCTATTTCTTGTTGAATAGCTTCGCGAGTATGCATATTCAAAGGTGATGAACTATCATCTGAAACAAAACATTCGGTTAGTCACATACAGTTTATTCAGTTCCTGTACCAACCTTCGACATATGGTGTTGATAGCAAACTGTGACTGATACTTCGTGGTGCTCTTTCGGTTAAACTTCGTGGCTTCACAGGTGATCCAATCTTATATGAATTAGTCAGACTATCGATTGTTATACGACAGTATTCATCACCATCAGTGCTATTCACGTGACTACTCGGACCATATGGAGATACTGGCGAGTTCGCACGATGTACTGAGAAACCTAAAATGAGATATTCTACCGATTGAAATGATTCATGCTTTCGTTTAGAATTATACCGCTGAACGAAGTATTTCGAGATCGATTGTTATCCTCGGACGGTTCGCTGGTCGACTGAAAACACGCGAAGAATACTCGAATCGAATCATTCATATACAAACGTGTCCCTTCGTAACCCAACCGAAGGCAAAGCAAGAATAGAATATCCAGTACTACAATAATCGATAAATATTCGAAGGCATTTTCATTTCTAGCTATGCACGATAACATACCTCGATAAGCACATACTGAACGAGCTCGTTCGAATGATGGAAAATGGATCGTAGTCGATGAAAGTAATGTAAGACATGGGTGAAGAACATGAGTTTTAATCGGATCCTATAACACGAAAAAATACAAAATAATACATAAAGATCGAACAATGATAGGAACTTACTGCTAAATGTCCCATTAAAGTGCTATCACTCATGTATGGAAGAATACATTTTAAAAGCACCATACAACTAAGCAATCCCGATTCTGATCGAATGGTCAATCGATGATTGGCTGCTCGAATCTAAATACACACATTATGCTTTCCAAACATTCATTTGAATATCAAAATCATCAACGAACTGCTTCAATTAGATGTGGAAGATAGAAAAGCAGAATGATTTGTTCGCCATAGTTTTGAATAAGTGACAAAAGACAATCGATAATTTTCTTTGCATTCAAATCTCCACGCACGGAACGAATACTTTTGAATGGATTCTTCTCCGATGATAACAATTGCAATTGTTCATCATCGACATAACATAACGCCAACATACGAAGTAAATGTCGACCGAAGTATTTACATCCAAGCACAGGACCTAATTTCAACTGTAAGTATATAATACTTTCAGCAGCAGAATCAGATAAAAGATTCAAAGTTTGTTGTTCATCATTTGACTAGAAGAGAACTCAAAATGAAATGTAAAATGTGTTCGTTTCACCTACATCAAGAAAAGTTGTATCATAATCGGATGGATTTGCTGTATCTGGTTGTTCATTACTGATCTCGTCTGTTTCGTTAATGGCATCATTTGCAGTCGTATTGTTTTCGTCGTCGACATCCGTTTTAAGACTGATTTCATCTTTGAAACTTGAACAAGCTTCAATGAGTAACAGCGGAAACGATTGCAGAAATTTAGCTAAACCAAAGCGTGCAACCAATTGAATGATGAATCGACGTGTAAAGCAGCGCCAGTGGTAGATCGTCGTTCGCTCTGGATTCAAAGTTGACTGAATTAATGTTAGTAAATGTCGACGAGTGTCCTCGGGACCGAGAACGACGGCTAAGGGATTGAATAGAAAATAAATACAGCGAACTCCATAGATCGGATGACGAAATGCATCGAGAACGTAAGGCATCAACAAATCGTGAGCTTGTTGAGTGTGTAATGATATGAGTAATGACGGAACTTGAGCTAATAAGAGTTGAAATTTTCGATCGTGAAGTAACTTTTGTTCGATAGAATTAGTTGTAAGGAGAAGTTGTTGGTCGTATTGTTCAAGTTGATGAATAAATCGATACAGTTCTTCGAAATAGTACGGAAATGGAAGAGTGCTAAAGAAACAGATTGATTGTTAGAAATTATTCAACGAAATTTCTCTCTTACGTTGTCCAACGATTCAGAAAAAACGTCGCATTAATCGCACAATGCGATATATGTTGAGGAAGATTACTTCCACTATCATTAGTTAAATCTAATAGTAATAAATTCAAACAAGCACGAAATGGTCTAGAATAACAAAATCGATCACACGTATAAACTTTATTTTGAGTTTTACACAGGTATAAGATGCCAGTTGTTGTTTAATAATTGTTTCGCAGCTGTCAAACGTTGAGGACCATTGCAATTGGCTGATACGTAATGCTGTTTACTAAGCAAAATCAATTCTAGTAGACATACGCCAAAATACTGTAAATCACGTTGACATGCATTGAGAAATGCCGATTTAAACTTCGCTGCCTAAATATTCAACAACTAAACGAACGAATTCAAAAGGTTTTCTTCCAATTACTCGATGATTAACACTTGGAGTTGGTAATCGGCTAAAAGATATCGAAGTTAACATAAGCAGTTGTTCGATTGCATCCAAATGTGAAAATGTTTCGTGTAATTCGTTAGCTAAGGAGATCGATTCACTCAATCGACTACTGCTTCCACTGGATTGTGTTCTACTCAAATCGATTCTTCAAAGAGCAAATGAAACTTTCCAGAGAAATTAAACCTTAATTTTCTGGTTTGTTCGTCGTCGAGTATTGTCGCATGACGCGTGGATGGCGACGAAGGAGAATTATCAGTCATTTGACGAGTCGACGAAAGAAAACGCGGCGGATCTGAATGAATAGAACAATTGTTTAGAAAAAGTTTTGGCTTCGAATTGTGAAAATTTTTATTACGAGGCTTGAGAAATAGTTGAACAATTCCACCACTACGTAAATCTTCGTGATGGTCAACTAATGGCAGACAAACGTTTTTCGCTCCAACTGCACTTTCACCAGTTAACTAGAACGAATTATGAGACGACGAAAGTGCTGAGAAAACTCAACGAACTTTGTGACCAAAGATTAAATCGATCCAAAGGTGAAGATTTTCTGATATTTCACGACTTTCTAATAATTGCCGATGTTTTTCAACGAATTCCTCTAGATAGGAGAGTCGCACGAATTGCATAAATGCTTCTCTCGTGAAGAAATGCTTACCTGGACTTGAACACCAGTCAGGCACCAGTAAATCCGGCAAATCTTCATGAATTGATTGAAACAACGAAGAATCATAGAAGAATTCCGGTATACACTCTTCAGGGGTCCAAAAATACAATCGTCCAATGGATGATGGATATTCATTTGGTACCCAAATCGAACGAACATTCTTAAAGCAACAAAAAAAAACACTAACTTGCAGACAAAAACACAGAACTTGCCATATCTTACTTCACATAAAACACGTTTTTCTGTTCGTCGTGATTTGTAAACATAATATGTAATAGATGAAAGGTGTTCACTTAAATGATGTGGTACAATATTTGTTGCGGTTGATATTGATGTCGAATAGTAATTATAAGTTAAATCAAGTTGAGCGTCACCTTGATACAAGAAAAAAAGAGAACAATGAAACATCTAAAGACAACAAGCAAGTTTTGCAACCTTTATTCAATCGATATTTGGATTGTGATAAATCTCGAAGATTACATGTTGCACTCGTAAAATCGTTGATCCAAGGAAATATTAGATGGTGATTAGGATCATGAAATTTTCTTCCTGCTAGTGCATTCAATATCAGTAGATAATCAAAGTTCGATACATGACCAAGTTGCCATTGTTTGATCAATTCAACAATATCAATATGTGTTCGGCAATAAGTTTCATAACGATGTTCGACATGATAAACAGGTGAATGAGATATCGCACTTGCTGTTGTTGATGGGGATACAGATGTGGTCGTCCATGTTGTTACTACTGATGGTTCGTCATGATGACTAGATGCATGAGGCTTTTGTTTCGAGGTTGATGGATGTGACATACTATTCGTTCGTGACGTCGGCTTTGATGATGGATAACCATGATGATCTTCCTCGAGATGATTTGTTCCACTTCCAGAAGCGAAATCAATCGTTGCTAAACAAGAGTGAAAACGAGGTTTTAGCTGTATCCAATAGCGTTCGTTAATATGAATATCTGTTAATTGAATGGGACCACAACTGAGACCACATTGATGTATAAACGAGATAGTTTTAAGTAGTTGGTATGTAATAAACAAAAGACGTAAATGGCAACCGTCGATAGCGTACGAAGAGTAAGTCGAAAGATCTCGAAGTGTATGCGACCACGATTCATAAGTTAACAAAAGAGTCTGCTGATTCAAAGTATAATTTTCTAAAGCAATAGAATGTGAACACAGGCAAACGATGATCTTTGCGCGACATACTCAAAGGAAATAAGTTCGCTGTTTGTGATAGGTATACATTCGTATTTGGTTGATCAACATTGTATAGAAGTTCAATAGCTGCTAATAACGCATCTGCATGAGACTAAAGAACAAGAAATTGAAATATGTTTCTTTACTGAATGAAACGAATACGAACGCATTTTATTGTTGTGTCCGTTTCATTTTGAAAGAGTGGAAGGTATAAATTTCTGTAAATATGTCGCTCATACCACTGTAAAATTGTCCGTAAAGATGCATTTTCGCTCAATTGTTCCTCCGCGATATCATCCGCAAGTTTGCTAGAAGTACAAATCGCATGACAATCATATAGTCTTTCATTTCTATCATTGCTTACATGAGAAACGGCCCATCTTGAAGAGAAATTCTCTCCGTGACATTCGACATTCAGTTATTTAATTCTATGTTGAGAAACAGAAAAAGAAGTTAGAAAATATCTCGAAAAAGAATATCTGATTGAATATTTATTAATCTGGTTTAATTGAATACAAAAAAAAGGGAAACGAATTCACAAGAGATTGAGTGCACAAAGTTAGCCACTGGGATCCCACATATTTCCATGAGAATCCGGTTGATTTTTGTAGGCGACATCAACTATCCATGGTTTGTCTAAACAAAAAGTCAAATGTTGAGTGTCTGGAAACATCTGATTAAACATACCTGTTGATTGATACTTCACAGGGGGTAAATCGTAAGGAATAGGAAATGCTGGTGAGTCTGATATAGAAAATACTGATTGCGAAAATTGTTTGGGTATGAATAAAACGCCGATTTCATATCTAGGAAGTTGTAATCAATGACAATTTGACTTTTTTTCTTCGAAACAACTACTTACGATCGGATCATCAATTGTGTATTATTCTTCTCTAACACACCCCACGCTAAATGAGATTAATTTTTCAAAGTTAATCTGCTGATTTAAGTAAGAAAGTGCAGACCAGCTTTCGATAGATTTGCGCTTGTAACTAAAAACCATAGAAGTTGTTTGTATTGGTCATTTGCAGCTCGTAAATATGTTTTGATATGTGGAGAAGCTCGACTACGTTGACGATGATCCGCTTTCCACTGACTAAAGATATCCTTGCACAAAATTTCTTCGCTGAACATGGACTCACTGAAGAAAATTGACCAGCCAACCTTGTTTCATTGCATTTTGTATGTTCTAATCGAAAGATAAGCTTCTCGATGTCGATGAAACACGAATAACTTACATAAGGCAAACTTCCACCAGCCATGTAACCTTCGAGTGACGTACGAACATTTTCAACCGATGGATAGATCAATTTTAATTCAGGAGATTCTAAAGCCGATGAACTGAGCTGTTTAAGTGAAGTGAGAAATTCTTTCGTTAGCCAAGAATTGGCAGTTGCGCCCAATGATCCGATACTGGAAAACTTCAATAAATAAACAAAATTTTTACTCATGTCGAAAATCAGGTAAAACAGACTTGTCCAACAATCGGTGCTAATGAATACTGTGCGTCGTTTTCTAGACCACTATATGTTTTCAAAGTCTAGAGAAATCATGATGAATGCTGGTGTTTACTTTCGAAATCAATGATTTATACCTGTCGGAGCTTTAAATGACCAAATTTATTCATATCGGGACCGGTATGACGACCAGGTACAGAACCAATCAGATGTACACTGATGAAATATTGCTTCTATTTCTATTCGACGATATGCTTTGTTTGACTTACTTAATATTACTAAAATCGTGTTCTGTGATGGTTTTTAACCAAAATTGCAATTGCTTAGCACGATATCGTTCAACATATTGAATTAGATCCTTCTTAAAATTTGTTTTGCATTCTTCTGTCCTATCATTTAGCTTCGGACAAATAGGACTTATCCAAATGCTATATGAAAAATAACGAATAATCACATATTGACATGATTCTTACGAATTACCCTTGAGTTTTTTGTTTCCAATCTTGTTCAATAAGGTTCGCTGTATGGATAACAATGCGTAGACCAGTTTCATACAATAAAAACATCATTTTCGTATGATGTGTTCCATATGGTATATCGAGACGAGCTGGGCACAATTCAATTTGTGGATACGGTGATGATTGAAGTTTCATCGAATGATTATCATGTCGTGAATCGCCATAAACAATCAATAATGGTTTAAGTCTGGAATCGTACAAAATATTTAACCAAAAAAAAACAAGAACAGGCGAATTCTTACCGAAATTCGGATGGATATTGTTCGAGAATGAACTCAATATCGAACATGTAATTAAATTGTGCCGAACGCACAAGTTGTCCATGTTGTGTGGAAAGAATTTCTATAAAAAAAAACGAAACTTGGCTTTACGCGAAGATATCTTCGATAATTATGATCTACCTTTGAAACTCATCGCGTTCGCTTGATTGTGTATGTTCGGGATACCATGAACCGTTGTCAGGAAAAAGCGAAAAGGCTCACTTTGTTCAAGCTTTTCAATAGGAGATAAATTTTTACTGGTCGATGCTTTTTCACGGGCAGCTAAAAAATAAACTGAGCAATAAGAACAAGAATCTCAAGTACAAATGAATGCTTATAGACGTGTTAAGTGTGTCATAAAACAAGCGCACGATTCTCAAAAGATGTCAAGGTAGCAAAGACAATTTACGGGGATGATCGTATTCAGCTGTATGTAATGGGTTCTTCTGTCGATAGCATGCTTCGCCGTATTCACAAAGCTTTTTGGCTGGACGATTTTCATTAAGAAAAATTGGAGTTGCGTCTTTACTTGTTGTAGATGATGATGCAGCGTCGTCTTTTTTCTGCTTTTTCGTTTCATTATCATCATTCAAAACTGTAGACGATGTTCGTTTATTCGTCGTCATTTTCGAAATCTGAAAATTCGCCAACTTAATGATCAAACAACAAAAAGAGGAGTATTTGTCAATTATTGTAAATAAGATAACAATAAAAATGAACGTATTGAAAAAGTAAATTTCTTTGTTATGAAACTTAGTTCATAGTGCGACCGATCATCTGCCGACCAAATTTGTTGTAAATACCAGAATGTCGTGCCAATATATACAAGTAGCAACACGCTGACAAATAAATGGTAGAAAATGAGAACGAGAATTTTCACGAAAGATATCTTCGATGTTTTTTCATGATGATCTTTCTAAATACGAAAGAAAGATTTGTCATGATCGAGAAAGAACTCTGCTTTACTTGTTCGAGGTCCATGAGATTCCGATTTTTAACCGATTACGATGTTGTTTAGGCAATTTCAACAATTTCTCGACGCTTGTTTGCAGAAACACTTCTACCAAGGAACATTCATTTTGAATTGGTAAACAAAAGCACACGCATTTTTCTTCCAACGACAATCTCTCACCGTCTCGTTCTTTCTCTCGTTTTTCTCTTCTATGAAATACCCTGATTTATTTTCTCTAGTACGTATAATAGAAGTAAAGGACATGTACCTCAGGGCGTATGAGGTGAGAATAGCTCAATTCAGAAACATGCACAAATATACGGCCGATTAGGCAAAAGACGACCCAACATCAACGAAGGGATTTCAAGCAAAATAATTCATACCTATCGAAAATGTTTGTTTAAGGTGCATAGAAAAATCATTCGCAGTAAAGTCTATAAATAACGCAAATGAAGTAAAAAAAATTGATTATTTCTACTGTAAGTCAAGCAAGCAAAATAGATTTTTGATCGGTGACAGAGACATATGCAAACCTTACACTTATCGAAGTGAGTATCGAAAGATCCTTTATTTAAACAGTACTACTGACTTCGAGAAAAATGTTTTTCTTTTCATACATAAAAAAATCATACGTAATATAGAAATTTTGAGACAGATACTCGATACTGCACGATAAATATTCCCACGGTTTGCTTTCTGTACACGTAGACATACAAAGCACATTTTATTTGAAAGATTGTTAAACTGAATATTTTTCCTTCACTAGGTAATCTTTCTTTCGAGTACATTACTTTTTCTTTCATCCACGAAAAGCAGAGCTCTTTCTGGAAGTCAACAGTCGTCTTAAAAAGGATGTGTCAAGACATATACTCTTAAATGTAAAGTGTTTATAGACATCCCTACGATCGGTAGGAAAACGACTTTGTTTGCCCAATTCTTAATGGAAGCATTCACTTCCTTCTTCTTCGCCTGCATTCAATCTGTACATGGACATTGAAAACGTACATATTTAAAGAACTGGAGTCAATTTTCATATGTTCTCAAAATGGAAGGTTATTACAGAACGGATCTCATAACCTAAATGTAAGTAAATCTTGTCAAGAGAAGTGAGTAAAAACGCATGCTGAGACACAATAATCCATGTTTTTTTATTGACATTCTTTCATACACAATTCAATTCATCAAAATCGATTTATTTTAATGGAAGAAAGTTGCCATAGACTATTAAATACGTCACTATGCGCACATTGCTCTCAGGAAGAGTTCGAATATAAAAGTACATAGCGAAGCCTACGCGACTTCCACCTGGTCAACTTCGCCCATTCTCTAATTGAGAATATAATAACAGACTTGCATGACGCCATTTTTGAAAAGAAAACCTCTAAATCTCTGTCTAATGGTGGCGAGATGTCAAACTAAACTACAACTATCAAACATACATCCATGCAAATTTCTATTGGAATCCTATAAAAGTATACTTTACTTTTAAAAAGTACTTACGTTTTTGTGTTGCATTTTTGTTTCGTAATTGCAGAGAAATTATGATCTAACCTTGACAGAAAATAAATACGATATAAGTGAGAAATGTTCTATTTCAAGTGATCTAAAGATAAAATATGTTCATTTATTATTGCAAGAAAAAATTATTGTTAATCACAAAAATTAGTTCGTATCAAGTTCAAAGAGAAAGACAATTGCAATGACAATCACAGTTTACAGACGATATGCGTTGAGAATCACTAACTAAGAGACGAGACTAGAGCTGAGAAAAATAATCAAAATGAGATTGACAAATCAACGGACGAAAACGAGATTTTGTTTCACAGTTCCTTCTTTTTCAGTTTATCATCTTCCTATTTAAAAAAAAAGGAACTATAAATATAGACGTTTCATCAATAAGTTTCGACATACCGTAGCACCTTTGCCATAATAGGGACGGTTATCAATGGTGACTTCCTTACAACGTTCTTGTTGTACAAGAAAATCTTTGATTTCGAATGCTTGAGATCCATCGTTCAAGACAAGTAAAATCCGATTATCATCAATGACATGTCTAGAACAGAATGGCAGGTTGTTGGTGTTTTATATTGAATATCAATTTACCGAGTAACATCATATAACGCATTTTTCAAACCCCACCACCAGATTTGAGTGATTTCTTCTGTTTCGCGACGTGTTGGTGAGCCTGAAACGGTTGCAAACATCATTAATGTTTGTCCTTGTTTGGAAACTTTCATGATGTGTTCAGGTTGTTTGCCAACGAGATCTTCTGGACGAATCATTGGACGAGGTTTTCGAAGGAAATAATCATGTCGTTCATCATCGGGCAAAACATCTTCATCGTTATCCTGTGCAATGAAGAACGTGGAAACTTCGTTTGGTCATTGTACAACAGAATTCGACTTACCTCCCATTCTTCGAACAAACTATCTACATCTCGGTCAGTATAGTCACGCGGATCTTTTTTCATGTGTGTTTTTTCGCGTTTAAATCCATCATCACCCGCATGAATACGAGCAAATGTATAAAATAATACGAAAATCGTAAGGAAAAAGTAGGAGTAATTCATTTGACGTTTGTTATTTTGATATGGTATGTCTTGTTCAGAAGAAAATATTTTGTGTTATTACTCCTGTCTAAGGTAAGGACACATCATGACACGCGACGCTATTCAATAGGATGAGAGGAGTCTTGATTGAAGTAAAATTTTGTCCAATGAAAAAATATTTTTCAGCAAGTGTTCATGTGCAGCAATGACATCTAGATTGAGCAAAGAAAAACGATACATCATGTATTTTTGTGCGTATGGTTTCGAATATGAAAAAGAATTTGATAATAAGTCAATATGCGCGTATTATTGTAATGTATTTCAATGATAGTGCAGAGATGGAATCTCGTACTCAAGAGATTAGGCAAATTTGTTCATCCTATATGTATGTAAAGTAACGAAGGGTAGGTGTGAACCAATACGTGAGAATGGAAATTACTAGAATTCATTGTTTTTACGAAACAAGGAACTAGATGTGTTTTGATAATGTTGCTTTACTGTTAAATTACAGAAGGAGAGAGACTTTGTCTGATAACAAAAGATATGCGTAGTGTAAAATGATGACGAAATCAAACATTTACTCTTATTCTTTATACGACTACGTAGGTTTTCTTGTCGATCGAAATGGCCGATGCATCTAGTGTAGCAGAAATTAAAAAGAAATTCGATGGAAAGCGTGTAATGGTAATAGGTTCACCGAAAATGCCAATTGTTCGTAAGGAACCATCAGTGGATTCGTCGGATTCTGAAAGATTGACACAGTCGAGATCAAACGATTTACGTCGAACGTCTGGTACGTTCTCTTGTCTACGATATGACGAAGTAATTGATTCCTCTTTTTATCTAGAAGACATAAATGCACCAGCATTCGAACCAACTAATAATGAAGCAACATTCGCCCGAGTTCTGCCCCAAGGACCAAATACTCTCAGGCATGCAAACAAACAAGATATTCCACTGCCAGCTTCGGCTAACCGAAATCGAAATGAAGATGAACATTGTCAATCATCAGCTGACTCAGTTCATGCAATTACTTCTCAAAATGCAAACCATAGCACTGGCTTTAAAAAAGCGCCTGTTCCTTTGCCGCCCAGAGCTAATCGTAATTGTACCGGAAATACACAGGATTCTATTACAGATCCACTTATGTCCGATAACGCACAACCTTCGACTATTCTAAAGAAGCCAATCGTTCCTTTACCTGCCTCTAGTCATCAAGGGATCAATGACGAAATGTCAAGTTCAACAATGCCTTCTGTAGCAAAAAAACCTCCTGTTCCTCTGCCAGGTCTTGCCGACCAAATTCAAACAAACAATATTCATTGTCAATCATTAAGTGTCACTCTAGATTCTTTATTACCGTCGAGATGTATGTTCTACGAATTGGACAATACAATTGACGATTATCAACGAACAGATGCTCGAACAATAGTTTTTTCAAAGCAAAAACCACCTATGCCGAAAATGACGAAAGATGAAGTTCATAGTCTTCAACGATATTTAAATACATAACAAAACGAACAAAGATGTGCGTATAAATAAAAGGAAAAAAAGACGACAAATGTTCTTTTTTTCTCGGTATACATACGAGTGCAGTGATCTACCCTATTGAAATGAAAAAGAATAAAGAAAAGAGACGCTTGATAGAAGAGGCAAAGGAAAAAAATCGAACGGAGATATAAAAGAAAAATGAATTTCTAAGATACGGATATTTTAAAAAGCATTGCATACTTTTTTTCTGCATTTCAATATTGTCTTCCGGATATAACGTTCTGTGTTAATTGTGCAATTAATGGGAATGTTGATGGATATTAAATATATGTTTTATATATATATATATTTGTTTTAATGAACATTATCCCTGAGTTGACTAAATGACGAGAATGTGAAAGGAACATACGCGTGTCATCCATCCGTAATTGTTCCCATACGCGAGAAGGTCAGCGATAGTTACCGTTTGTAGTTCTTCATCTATATGTTGTGATGGGTATGTTCCATTTATGTAAACATAGCTGTTCATCAGTAATGCAATTATGTAAAGGAGAAGACGAAGAAACCGAGATAGTTCCTTTTCTTGTGTTCACCGGCTAAGTTTTCAAACGCAAGAAGGGGAAGGAGAAGGGTAGAAAGAGAGAAGAAATGAAAGTTTTGTGTTTTAGTTTCTTTGTTTGTTTGTTTGTTTAGTTTTTTTTTTGCATTGAAAGACTTGTAACAAGATTAGAAAGCGACGAAATCTAAACATTTGAGTTATTTGGTTGAACTACTTGGAATCCAGCTTTGTTGTAACGTTGCGACGGACGAAAATGAAAAAACCAAATGATTATGCCAACGATAAGTAAAACAAGAATTGTAATACATATCAGCGACAATGCTATCCATTTTAACGTTTCATTTCTTAATATTAATCGCCGTTCTTCGTAAGTTTTGCCTCCGACAGTTGAAGGATTCCCATTATCATCGTAATCGTCTGTCGGTATTGCATTTGGATCGATTGGTTTATTCGCTTTCAATGCTGATGTTTGAGAGTCCTTGGAGAGAAAAAAAAGAGACAGACAAAGAAATGCACACGCACAGTCGTTAAATTCAATTATTACTCGTATATGTGAATGAGGTAATTCACTTTGATCATGTTTATCATTTGTTTGTGATGGATGTCGATGAACATAAGATGGCATTGGATGCGTTGAGAACAATCCATCATTATCATCATCTGTTGTCTTTTCTCTCGGCGGTATACGGAAATTCTTCACAATGTTACATTCACTTAATTGACAACGTTCTTGTTGATTATCTGAACATAGATCTGTGTACGTTTGATCAGGTTTCTTATCTAAGATTGTTAATATGAAATCGTGTATACAATCACAATATTCGGCTTGGGGTGGCAGAATTGTCATTGTTGGATTTGCTTTTTGTTGTTTGGCAATATACCGTGCGAGAACGCATCGCGATGATGGATATAATTGGTCGAGGATTACTTTTGATGCATCGAAACGTGTCAAATAGTTCAACTCGTCCAGTGAATGTTCGGTGAGATGACGTGTATTCGGACCAAGAGTAAACGATTGTATACGAGATGCATGTTGAAATGTATGATCTAATGAGGAAAGATAAATAAAGAAACAGATGTTAGTTGAATACCTTTAAGTGTTTCAGCATCAAGTTCAATTGTTTCAAGGCCGGTCAAGTATTGAAAACCATCAAATGAACGGTTATCGAAGAAGAATTTCGGACGAACTAAATGCAATCCGTACAAATTCCGATAGTTGGTAAACGATGAAGCATTCAGCTTTCGCGCTTCATGCGCTTCGATAATCATTGAACGCACGGGATAATCAGGAAATTCTTCACTGGACACTGTCTCGACCATTTTGGTGAATTTCGCTAGACGAATTTTACCATTGAAATTCATTTTCGCTGTCTCATTACTTCGCGGTGTGCAACCTGGAAAAAGCAACAAAAATACATTCGCTGTTCGAGTTGTTTTCTTTGTTTTACCTTCAATTGTCAAATCATTAATATTTGTGTTATTAAATATTTCCTCGAACGAATACGGTTCGACTGATGAACTATGCAGAAACATCTGATCAACCTTTATGTGATGAAATGCCATGGGTGAGAAGGTAATTCGACCATTGGATGTTAATTCTAATGTGAATGTGGTTTTAAGATCGGATTTATCGCCAAATAATTCATAGAAAGAATAGTCTTCGAATTGTAATTGAAGAAAATTATGAAACGATAAGGTGATTTTGATCGATGATTTCGGTTTATTTCCTGTTAAAGAAGTTGTTCGAGGAAACAGATGAGATAATTCATTAATAAACATTGATCTAACGATGAATTCTTTATCATAAAATGTTAAATGAATCGAGTCGAACGAGCGAGTCGTTTGTCTGATCGCATTCGTTAATTTTATTGTTGAATTTATTGTTTTATTGAAATTATTACATATCAAATGTTCACTTTCACCATGGAAAGATGTATGACATTCACATAACATATTCTCGAGAATATCGCACGGTGTACATTGAACATATGTAACAAATAGAAGAAGACAAAGCGATATCGAGATTTGATGAGTCATGTTCGATGAATATTGACTAGACGAAAGGTTGCTCTAAAAATATTCAAAGAAGATAGTTCATGTGGTTGAGAGCGAACGACGTGATGATATGGTGGGACTAAGTTTTGGTTTGTTATCAAGATATTTCGAACGTACACTCCCTACTTACGTGTTTTCAAGGCAAAAAAAAGAAAGAAAAAAATTATGAGGTATCTACATATTTCTTTCAATTATTTTTTTTCTCCCTCTCTGCGAAATATTCGAATGTCTTGATGATATCATTTTTTACTTTTATTATACGATGTAATGCAATGATTAGGTATCAATCATCGACTAGGCTATAGTAATCAACACACTTTGGTTTGTAATCGAATACGGATATACATAGGAATCTACACAATAGTGCAATACTCGATCGTACACTGAAGAAGAGAGGGAGAGGAAAAGAAATGCTGTACACTATTTCTACTGTGTACATACAAAAGATTGTCTCAGTAGAACACAAGCGAACATTGAATTTCTATTATTCTTGTTCTCTTCTCTGTAAAAAAAACTTTTTTTTTGTTTAAATGCCAGCAGTTGCCAACTGATCGTGTTTATTCTCCTTTTATACGCATTTTCTATCTATCGAGATGAATCTATCTAAAAATCTAGTCGAATGTATTACATACAATAAAGAAAAGAAGAAGAGAAGAAATGAGAATTACGTAATCAACAGGAAGAGTCAAACAACCTTGTCCTACAAGGATAATACAGTTATCGTTTTAGCAGAATGATAAAAAAAACTACGAAGATCAACGTTGTTCTCTTTTTCTTTGTTAACCAACATTACGTCATGGCCCATTGTGAATTATCTCATATATGAAAAAATTGAAATCGAACTATATGGCATTTCTTATGTATATCTGCACATATAAATTGGTACTTAGAAAAAAATGCATAACAAACGTCTTTTAATCAATCGTTTAATCAGTTTAGAAGATGGAAGTGGTCGAGCAGAGTAATGGCATAATAATGAATTCTCTGTCAACGTCAAAGTCATCGTCAATGTTTCCACAGTCCGAAAACAACTGTTATGTTATCCACCTGACGAAGGACATGAGTGTAATATGAGATCAGTCGATCGGTTTGATCCTACTAAAATTACACTAATTTTCTTATCGAAAAGCAACGAAATCGAAGAGGAAAAAAAGGCAAAGTTAAGCCAATTCCCTAAACATTAATCATTCTGTTTGTCTAACTCTGTAAATCTTCAGCCTTGACAGTGATATCATTCATTACTGACTTCTGATACAAACCATCGAAGGAATACCAGTTTTTTCATGTCTTGTCAGTGCTATTCGACCTTGAAAGTAAAAAGGAAAGAAATGTCTTCTATTTTCATTCTATCGTAAAAGGCTACTCTGCATGCTTACTTTACAAAGTATTTTTCGAACTGTAAAAACGACGAAATTTGCTGTTTCGAGGCGTTTTTCCTCCTCCTATAGCAAACATCAATTTGTAACGACAAAAGAAAGAAAGAATGAGGATCTTCGGGTGTGTTTTTTATCTGACATCAAGCTGGTTTTCTTAAGTAAAGTCAAACTCACTTGGAATTATAAAGAAGATTACTTCTGATTAATAATTTGTCCTGATTCATCTGAATTAAATGGCAAAGAAAAGAATGGTCCCGCTTTCTTTCGTTACTACTTGGTAAGTATAACGACGAAGCCTTGTATGCAAGCGAATACATGACAAAACTGTACTTGAAATAAAAATAACCTTGTCAACGTTCGCGAGTTACAAAGAGCGTATAAACAAATCTTGTCTTTCTAGTTTTTATCTATTAGTTCAATTGGATGGTACATTAGAGAGATACAGTCTTATACACGCTTCATTTAGTTCGATTTATATAGTCATTTTCACTCGTTTCAGGCATACATATCGAGAAAATAATCGAATAAAAAAGTGATCGATCAACTTACCTAAGCAGTTTTGTATAAGATCACTCAATGAGATCATTTCTTTCTCTTTTCTCCTACTGCTTATTGATTACTAATTAGAAAATCCTTTTTTGTATGCAATCGTATTCTTTTGTATCTCATTATCTCCTATGGGAAATCCTAGGGGTGAAACAATGATGTGCAAAAGTACTGCGAGAAGACAAAAGTAACCGATTTCTATGCAACTTGCTAAACATATCAAAGTAAGGTCTTTCTTTCCACAGAACCGAAAAACTGCATGTGGCTTTTTTTTTGCTCGCACGACTTTTTTTTGTCCTATTCTCCAATATAGAGAGCACGAGAGTCGAAGCTAATGGAAAAATAAATGCGACTATACAATCTGAAGATAAAAGAGGGCAAGTATGTGTACTTCGTCTTTATAAACAATCCATTGTAACTCGTTTGTTTCTGCTTGCGTCAAAGTCATCAGATCATTTAATTACAAACGATTAATTGGAAATAGAAAGAAATATCAATGATCCATAGATAGATATTTCTAAGAACGAGAAAGCTTCTGCAGCGAATTCTTCGTTGAGTAAATAAGAATAATAACACTTACCGATCGTCGGAAAAGAAAGAATAAAAATATGGCAAGTAAATATGATGTTGTTTTTTTTATTTACGCTTCGTTCCTTTCGAACTAAATAGATGGCAGGAGACAGGTAGAGTCAACTCAGTTGGCTGAAAAACCATGTCGAACTTGCGGTCGGATTGCAAATAGGGAATGAGTTTTTCTCGTGCAAGAGTTCCGAAAAGAGAAAATCGTCGAAAATCCATCATAGATAATTTCATCAATGTTTTATTAGATCTGCTTGAAGAGTACTGCCAAAAAACGAGCATTTGCAAGATAAGAACAAGCAAACATGAGGAGATCGTTCCAGCACAAACTGCGGTTAGATTCATGATAAATGCAAAACGTGATAAAAGATTCTTTCGTTCTAAAGCATTTTACGACATAGATTTCATCGTTGTAAATTGCATATTTTCGAGTAGCATCAAACAATGCTCGTCTTGCAAAAGAAATGACAATTGATCTGGATAATGTCGAAGCATGAGCTATAATTTATTCAGAAGACGAAGAGAAACATTCACTATGCAACAGAAAGCAAACAAGAAGATCACGTTATGTTCTTATTTCTATCGTTGGAAAAGCAACAACACCAAAGAAATATGGGCTTCTGCATTTCATTAAGTAGTAAGAGAAAGTTAACAGTTGAATGAGTTTGAAAACAAGGGAAAAATAAATGTCAGTGTAGGAAACTTTGAATTGAATACGATGACCACGCTTTATCAATGATATTTATCACACAAACAGTATTATTTGAGCAAAAAACTACAAACATAGGATAACGAATTTGGTTGGAGATCACTGATAGAAGATACAAAATCAGACCTGTATGGATAACCGTGATATTTTGATCGAAAAACAGAAAGAATATAACTGAATAACGAGATGACAATAATAAGACCAATAAACGCCATAACGCCTTGAAAAGAGCAACATAAGGTTGTTTATGACGTGGAAAATGTTTCAATTACTTCTGCGTTTTCCTTTTTTCGATTGTATTTTCGGTGCTTCATTTAACAGGATCATGCCAACACTAACTCCGAAATGTGAAAAAGAAAACGAAAAACGAAGTTAAGGAAAATAAACAAAGATGTCGTTTCATTCTCTTCTAAAAATCAATTAATTAAAAAAGGATATAGAGTAAGAAGACCTAAAACGACAAAAAGAAACATTGTTATATTCAAAGATCAAATATTCGCGAAAACAATCATAACAAAAGCAATAGTAATCAGAAGGAAATCATGGCAATTCAGAAGTCAATTGAGTACACAACACAAATCTTACGATATAAGTCTCCATGATATACTGATGACCTGAATTGCGGCTGATATATTCCTGCAAATGAGAAACAATGGTTGTCAAGTATTGAAGAGAACCAAGACGAAAATTTTCTTCGTGGAAAGAATTACATGCGTGTATGAACATCTGAATTGCCTATGAATGACTTTTCATCTGATAACTATTGTTCATGCTAGACTTAACGCTTGATTTTCATCTACAAACTACGTATGTTTCGGCAACATATTGCATTTGTGAATCATTGGCAAAGAATTCCTGAAAATAATACGTTTCCACCAATTGTCGCTGCATACACGCATGTAATTACTTTACCGTAGCATCTTTTCGTGTATTCATAAATGGAGGTCCATTTATATGATTCCAGGTTTGTCCGGATATGAAATAGCACACAACACCCTAAATAGAAAAGCGAACGGCACTTACAGTGTGTCCTGTTTTTTGGTCGTGATTAGCAAATGTTGAACCATGAATATTGTTCCACATTTGTCCCGAGACAAAAGTTAAAATAGCGAGCTAAAAGCATATCATGACGCAAAATCTTCTCTGCTGCTCATTTCAACAATAAGAAGTTCGTTTTTCGATGGAAAATCTTCAATGCTTACAATAACGAATACTCCCCAAATGAGGTTGTTATACAAAAATGTGAGACTATCTCGTTTAAGATAGAGTAAAGCAGCGATCATTGCCAAAGCGAAGCCGCTGATGAGAATTCCCGAGTAATCCGGTGGACGATAGATTTCAATCTAGAGAGGAAATACTTTTGATCAGCAAATATTGTAAAGGAACATACTCGAATTTCGGTACGATCTTGAACCCATTTTGTTAAGTGCTCAGCAGAAAATCCACGCCTAAAATTTGCTTGAATTCAACCGAAATTTTATCAAATTAGACTCACGCACCGGTTCAAGTCCAACTGATCGCCTTTTTTTGGTTTGGTTTTCGGCGGGAAATGAATAAAGACTGGTGCCGAGTTGAGTTTCAACTAAAACAACTCGAATAAACTTTTCCACAGAGAAAATCAATCACTTACATATTGAAAAACTTCTGCACCTTCATCGAAATCAACCATTGCAAAGAAGAGTTTGTTTGAAAATGCCTTTGAATAGCGGTAGCTTTGTGCCACAACTTGAAATTCATCATGTGCATGTCTATATATCGAATGAAACGTAAAAAGAAAACAACGAAGTACCTATCATACTTGCACACTCCGCATTGTCGTTGTGGTGATAACGCTGTCAACATGATAATCATCGAATAGTTTTTCGGCGGTGTTCGAACGAAATGTTTGAACCGTTCACTATTCAAACGAATCAACGAGTTCTTCGATGACCAATCAGTTAACTGTTGAACTTTATCAGCTAAATTGTTCTATAAAAAATTGAAATGAACGAATCTGATTGTTTGAAAATCTTGAATCGATCAGCTAACCTCAGCATGGAGAACATTGACGACGGTACAAGTCCAAAGAAAACATAACCACAGTCGGTGATGCATGTGAATAGTTTAATGCAATGTTGCTGTTTTTTTGACAAATAAATTAAACTGGCGTTTCAATTGCAATTGAGTCCGTTGCAACTTTTCATTGGATTTCACAATAAATCAAATGGGAAATGAATACAATGGAAATGTCAGAAATGTTGTCAATTTCTTGAGAAATTCATTCTAAATGCTAAAAACTTCAGTTTTTTTTCAAATTTAAACCAATGTTTCTTTTCAAATAGATGTCATTGTCAGTCAGGATCATTAAAACATTCGATTTTCTCTGAAATTGACTACATTTCTCAAGATTCGATCTATCCAGACAAAGGGCAAAGTTCATTTTTATTACGCAGTTGATATATTGCCAAGGACAAGATTTTCTCTTCTCTCTATTTTTCTCTCAACGTTTACATGTACTATTCATGAACGTGTTTTCCATTCGATTTCAACTACACACGCACGTTGTTTTTCACTTGTAGAAAAGTCATTCTATCTTCTCTGTTTACAAATAAAAACAACGACGATCACCAGTCGAAGTCATTCAGTCTGTTGTTCTATTCGCGTTCGTTTCTACTTTCTTCGTTCTATACATAGACATGCCGAATTACTCTAGCTCTTCGGTCAACACGGTCGACTGGGCGATGGGTTATGAGGGTAAACATCTTTCCTACATGTATTTTCTCTCTTACAATTCATTTCTTTGTCTTTCAGGCAGTTGTACAGTCAAACAACGAAATCTTTTAGAAGGCCTACACGTTTCATCAACGCCAATACCGCCGCCATTCCAAGATTTTATCTCACTTGTTCATACAAAGAAACGAACTCATACAAGTCTAAGTCTTAGCAGTAACAGTAGTGATGGTAGTTGTTATCTTCCACATCAGACTCCATCACCATTACTCGATCATACCAATTACAAATATGCGAAAATTCGTGCACGACCACTTTATAACTTTAATTACAATGAATCAAGTATTTGGACACATTCATCCACATCTACGATGGATACTTTATCGAATACATTACCATTCGATATGGATGTTGTAAATAAATTTTTTGTGAAAGAAAATAAAATCATTCAGCAAAGCCCACGAACATCATTCTCAACAACATCAATGACCCGATCATTTCAAATACTCGATAAATCGTCTCAAATCACGTATGATGTCACCATGCGACATTTAATTCAATTATTATCGAAAACACACTCAACAATTGATGATGTTCTTCGCGGAATCGATACAGGCGATATCAACAGTGAATGGTAAGATGGATTTCGATCGTCTTCTCTATTGTTTATTCCACCTAGGCTTCAATGTGTCCAACGCTTAAATAAACAGTTTCAAAAGCATTGCAAAAACAAACTCCAATTCGAAACTTTTAATCTCGAACATTTACACGAACTCAATACTGTCGAACAGTTCTTCGTACAACTCCTTCGTATACCAAATTACAATTTTAAACTGAAATGTTATCAATATCGCGATGAATCTCATTCCCAATTACTCTTATTACATCAAACTATCGATCAGCTATTGCATGGAATCAATCGCGTTCTTAATCACGAACATTTACCGCAAATCTTTCAAATCTTATGTCTTTTATACAACATTGTCTCGAATAAGTGTGTGCCCGGTCTGGATTTTATTTCGTTAATCGATGCATTGAATTCGCCGACAAATCAGTCGAATAAAACAGTTGCACATGCTTTAGTCGAAATTCTCGATAAATACTATCAAAATACGTTGCTTCATACGATTAATGATGAAACACTGATTGAATTGAAGAAAGTCCATGCGATTAAATATGATAAAATCTGTGCAGAGATACGCGAAATCTACGAACAATATCAGCAAATGGCATATGAATACTCTCTGTTAAAAAATAATTACGATTTACCATTATTTATCTCGTCGATGCTCTCGGAGAGCAAAATTCAATTCGAAAACTTCTTTGAAAAAGAAAGTCTGCTGAGAAAAGGTGAACGAGACCTCGCTGCATATTTCTGCTCGAACGATTTATCAGTTGATTGTTGTTTATCAATGATTGGTCAGTTTATCGATAAACTTCGGTTAGCAAATCTGGAAAACACGAAGGAACAACAACGAAGGTTGTCGGGCAAAGCAAATGAACGTCAACGTTCAACGTCATTGTTGGTAAACACCGCCGCTTCGTTTTTATCGTGTGTTTGAATGGAATTTGATGGTTTTATAGTTGTTATTATTGTTTCTCTGTTTTAAACTACCAGTTTAGTTTCATTGTTCGATGTTATATACGTTTATTTAAAAGAGAAAGAGAGAGAGAAAAAATATATGTATAGAGAAAATCAAAAAAAAATGAAGACGAAAGGTGACATTATTGATTTTGTCATTAAAATAGATTCGAATCATTGATGAACAAGAAAGATCAATTTTGCACATATTACAATCGTTTCGACGAAGTTAGACGTTGAAAAACACTGTTGTTGATCGGAGTTGTTCGACGTAGATCAGTTGTACTTGTTGATTTCTTTCGGTTGTTCGGTAAACTAGTTGACGGAAGGACATTGGTGAGTGTTGTTTTAGTTGCCGATTTCTGATGGTGATAGGAAGTTGGAGGCTTTCGAATGGATTTCGGCGATGAGACAGAATTGGAGTCGAGATCACTACTTGAACTGAATAAACGTCGGGTTCGCGGCGAGGGACGTTTGAGTGCGGATGAGTCTTGATTGGCTGCAGTGGACGTTTGAAAAGCACGAAGAGGCTTTTCAGTTGGTCGGGTGAAGGTCGAGCGAAGAAGTTGACTACTGTTCAAGAAAAAGTTCGGCGGTGAACGTGTTTTAGTGACGACGGAAGGTTTGGAATGATTGTTAGTGGTAGTGGTGGTGGTTGATGATGAGACGTTTTGACAAGAACTAGCATGGCTAAGACGTGAAGACATCTTGCGAATTTTTGGAGAATTAGGCCTGGATGAGACGTTGGCGACAGGTTGAATAGTACGAGTTTTGCTTTTGGGCTTGGAACTTGTTGTGCGACGATTAGAAACTGCCGAACTAGCAGAAGTGGCTGTCTTTGCTACGGCCGTCGTTGTCGTTAAAGTAGACGCTGATGAGACTTCATCCGGTTCTGCGGCAGTTGGTACCGACGGTAGTGAGGGCGGTGGAGAAATTGCTGGAGTTTTGGATGGCTCATCAGCATCTTTTTCCGTCCATATTCGTCGAGACACAGCACAACGTTGAATATGTCGACTCGATCGAATCGAGATAGCTGTAGTGTTGTTATTATTATTACTTGTATATCGCACACTCTCAGCAGACGGTGTACGTTTTGCCATTAGATTCTTCACTTGACTCTGGAGTCCATTCGAATTGAACGTTGGATAACTATACGCGGAAGCCGATGTTCGCAGTAAACTTGTTGGTCGACTACTAGACACCGTTGTTCGTTTATTAATGTTATTACGCATACCACTGTCATGACTCAATCGACGAGTCGAGTTGAATGTTAAACGTCGAGTAAGATCATCTGCCAGAGTTTCTTCTAACGTGATCGATTTCGTTTCATTTACATTTGTTTCCAATGGACATGATCGCGGAGTGATTTCTACAGGTTCACTCACGTTAGATTGTGTTTCGAAACCTTCATCAAGTGTTTCAGAATCAGATAGTAAGAATGCTACGATAGGTAAACTAGGATTCTCCTCATTAGAATGATCAACAGGTACTGACGAACTGGAAGATTGTGGATTATCATCTTCACCTGAATTTGTCAACTAAAACAAATTGATTCTTTTCAATAAAACAATCTTCGCTTGAATTGACATCATCAATAGCAGATTCTGCATGTGTGTACTTACCTCGGTTTGTTAGTGTCTACACGTAAAGCAATGAATGTCTACTTTGAAAAGTTACAACTACGAAGCTAATGCTAGTAATTATAGAAGAGATCAAACATGCATGTTTTTGTGTTGATGTTATATTAATCTATACTAATGTTTTTCTTTTCTTTTGTTCCTCAGCAGAATATCAATCATTCATACAAAACACAGTGTCATATCAATTAGTAGATGCAAAGAACGAAACAAATCATGAATAAAGTTAACAATAAATCAAAAGCGAAACTGAAACCAGATGAAGGAAAAAACAAAACACGAAAATAGAACTAGAATGAAAAAGATCTTTTTTTTACTAACCATAAAGATAAACCATCACTGTTTCGCAAAGAAAAAAAAACAAATCAAATCAATATGAAAATGAAAGAGAGAGAGAAAAAAAAGATATAAAGAAGAAGATCAGTCTAATTCACACGCAGTTCCAGGATATGAATGTCTTTCATCGAAAATTGTTCTTTATATCGGATGTATGCCGTGAAAATTTGCTATCTTCTTAGGTCTAACGAACAGAGTACAAATGGTGTCAAACAAACGAATATGAAAAATCTTATGTGGCTGTTTTTTTTCTCTTTTAATCAATACCATCCTTTCGAGGACACGGTCATGATCGTTGGTCGGCAAACTTGATGAACTAAACTTGTATACCAAGGTGTTAACTACAAAAGTAGCAGAAACAAAAAAGAACCAAAGCAAATAAACAACATAACACAACACAACAAAAGGAATGTAATGAGAAAGAAAAAAAACTAGAACGGTCAACGAAAGAATTAATTTGGCAAAAAAAAGAAGAAATATGTGTTAGTAAACTACAGACTAATCATAGGTGGGATATTTAAGAATCAGCTTGTATATACTAGATTTCTTTACCTCAGGTGGATTTGAAATATCGGTTGATGTAACTGGTGTTAGCGTAGATGGATATGTGGAATTCTCTTTATTGTTGTCATCGTCGTTATCGGAATATTGAAAATGTTGATAATCAGTGAATGAAGGTGTTAATGATGCGTTGGTTTTGTATTCATTCGAGGAGATTGAATCATTTGGTGTTGATTGATCAGTGGAAGGATCAAATAGACGTCGGATGGGTGTTGTTAAGTAAAACGACGGTCGAATTTCACAAACAGATATAACACGAGCTGCTGTTG